TATAATGCACAAGGCTTGGTTTTTCAGATTATGCCTTTATTGTTTTTATATATAGCACTGAAACCATATTTTTCATGTTTATTATACTGTACCCACTTTAATTAAACTCTGACACAGTTTGAGATAAATGTACCAAACCAACTGTACAATATTCAGAATATTATTCCCTATAATGCACAAGGCATATAATATAATATATAATATATATAGATATAGAGATACAATCTCGGAATTGCAAGAAAATGTCAGAATTTTGAAATATAAACTCAAAATTAAATGTTTTATTTTATTCCGTGGCTTGAATAGACTGCTACGTTTAAACTGTCATTTTCTGCCACCAGATAGGCTCTGCCCACAAAAAAACATCATCACTGTTTGCAAACACTGAACTTGGTCTATTGTATGGGAGACAGGGTTGCCAGGTTTTCACAACAAAACCCGCCCATTTGCTCACCTGTGTCTATCTAGTCATGAAGATATCATGTAATGGCCAAATAGTTATTTTAAAGTATATATCTCCTGTAAATGATGTAAATAGTGACATTTCAGTAACTTTACATACATTTAAAGTAAGATGTGAATATATTCTAGAAATAAAAATTTCAGAAACTGCTAATTTTGAACTTTCTGTATCTGATTATTCTTTCTTACCAAGTTCTTAGAAATTCCAGCAACAGTCAATCACAATAATGTATTTGCAATTACAGATGATTAAGCATATAAATAGTCAGTTTGTTGTTTTACACACATGCACACAGACATTATTTCATACACGACAGTCGTGAGATGCATAAGAAATCTTTAGATGCGTAACATTAACCATAGTCCATAATACACGACAGTCGTGAGGTGCATAAGAAATCTTTAGATGCGTAACATTAACCATAGTCCATAAAAACAAAAAAACGATGCTTTATTTAACTTTTTCTGAAAAGTGTGCACTGCAAACGCGAACATTTTTGACAATCGTTTCTGTCCAGTTTGCTCGTTTTATCGCATTTAACCACAGCTTTCGTAGTTTTTTGTGTTTTTTTTGTCTGGCAGTGGCAGCAGGTATGCGATACAATTTCAAATTGGAACCTGTACTACGTCGATTCTGGCACCCAACATCACAACAAGATATTTTAAGCTCCTTATGTAGCCGAATTTTTGCTGGTTTGAATTGGCCGCCTCCAGTTTTCCCTTTGTTTTGCCTCCAGCTAGCGCTGTGACGTAATTGTGACTAAATGGGTCTAGCTGAAATGTGACTGAATTTTGAATTCAGCAAAAAGTCACATCACACATAATCATGACAGATCATCGTTTACTTAGTCATCGCTGTCACTTCAAAAAACTTGTGCACATCCCTATTAATAGTCATGCTTTGTGTTAAATGCAGTTAGTGTTGTTGTAATGCTTAATTATGAAAAATGTTATTAATCAGAATCAGAATGAGCTTTATTGCCAGGTATGTTTACA